TTCAGAGAGATCCATACACTTGAACACAAGTTTTTGTCTGGAAACTAGAATAAACTGCTTCGCTGAGCGCAGCTGGATACGCCCGCAGAGGTCCAACCCTGAATAGTTGGGGCAAAAATGGACACAATATTCAAGCTTGATACAGGTCTGAATTTGGATTGTAATTAAATATTTGATATATTATAGGTTTTTTAATAAATGTAGTCAAAGAACTTGAAATTGGTTATATGAAAGATTTCTTGCTGTCGTGCAATACACTGTGCTGTTGCGCAATACTTAGTAAATCTGTTGTCAGACTATAAACAAATAAAATCTTATAACTTGGAAACGTAAAAGCAAAAATTTATAAAAATCAAAAAGGAGCTTACAAAAATAGATATAAACAGTTTACCAAAGTTTCATAAAAAATGCTAAAGCATTTTTTAGTTATTGTCTGAAAACTGGAAAATCCTCCTTTTTGTAATGAATAAAACCCCATAAATCGGAAACGTATTATCTGAAATTCATAAAAATCAAAAGGGATCTCATGTCGATAGAAATAAACAATTCACCGAAGTTTCTTGCAAATTGGTGAAATTGTTTTTGAGTTATTGTCTGAAAACTGGAAAATCCCCCCTTTTTTAATGAATAAAACCCCAAAACTTGGAAACGGTAAATCCTAAATTTTTAAAAAACAAAAACGAGCTCACGTCAATAGATGTGAACAATTCACAAAAGTTTCATGCAAATTGGTGAAATATTTTTTGAGTTATTGTCCCAAAACTGGAAAATCCCCCTTTTTAAATGAATAAAACCCTGTAACTCGGAAACGGTAAATCCGAAATTTATAAAAAATGAAAGGGAGCTCAGGTCAATAGATATGAACAATTCAGCAAAGTTTCATGCAAATTGGTGAAATTGTTTTTGAGTTATTGTCCGAAAACTGGAAAATCCCCCCTTTTTTAATGAATAAAACCCTAAAACTCATAAATGGTAAATCTGAAATTTATAAAAAACGAAAGGGAGCTCACGTCAATAGATATAAACAATTCACCAAAGTTTCATGCATATTAGTTAAAGCGTTTTTGAATTAATGTCCGACATGTTGACGACGGACGGACGGACAGACGGACGGACAGACAGACGGTCAACGGTATACCATAATACGCTTATTATAAAAAATATATAAAAAATGCTTATTTTTGGCCCCTTATTCCTAAACATTTTGGGCAATTACCCCCAAACTCAATTCCAGCTTTCCCTTTATGATATGGAACCTTGTAGTACAATTTCAGAAAGATCCATACACTTACACACAAGTTATTATCATGAAACTAGAAAAATGCTTGTTTTTTGCCCCCTTATTCCTAAACATATTGGGCAATTACCCCCAATCTCAATTCCAGCTTTCCCTTTGTGATATAGAACCTTGTAGTACAATTTCAGAAAGATCCATACACTTACACACAAGTTATTATCATGAAACTAGAAAAATGCTTGTTTTTTGCCCCTTTTTTGGCCCCTAATTCCTAAAATTTTGAGGCAATTACCCCCAAAATCAATCCCAGCATTCCCTTTGTGATATGGAACCTTGTGGTACAATGTCAGAGAGATCCATACACTAACACACAAGTTACATGTATGTCTGGAAGTTACAATAAAATGCTTCGCTGGGCGCAGCTTGATACGACCGCAGAGGTCGAACCCTGAACAGTTGGGGCAAGTATGGACACAACATTCAAGCTTGATACAGCTCTGAATTTGGATTGTGATCAAATATTTGACACAGCATAGGTTTCTGACACAAAAAGAATGTGGTCTAAGAACTTCAATTTTTTTAATTTACCTATTATGGTCCAATGTCCAAAATCAAAATACATGGTTAGATTCAGCATATCAAAGAACCCCATATATTCAATTTTTGTTGAAATCAAACAAAGTTTAATTTTGGACCCCAACTTGGACAAACTTGAAAACTGGTCCCATAATCAAAAATCTCAACACATGTTTAGATTCAGCATATCAAAGTACCCCAAGAATTCAATTTTTGTTAAAATCAAACTAAGTTTAATTTTGGACCCTTTGGACCTTAATGTAGACCAATTTAAAAAATGGGACCCAAAATTAAAAATCTAAAAACACGGTTAGATTTGGCATATCAAAGAACCCCAATAATTCAATTTTTGATGAAATCAAACAAAGTTTAATTTTGGACCCTTTTGACCTCAATATGAACCAATTTGATAGCAGGCCCACAAAATAAAAAATCTAAATACATGGTAAGATTCAGCATATCAAAGAACCCCATATATTCAATTTTTGTTGAAATCAAACAAAGTTTAATTTTGGACCCCAATTTGGACCAACTTGAAAACTGGGCCAAAAGTCTAAAATCTAAATACATGTTTAGATTCAGCATATCAAAGAACTCCATATATTCAATTTTTGTTGAAATCAAACAAAGTTTAATTTTGGACCCCAACTTGGACCAACTTGAAAACTGGGCCCATAATCAAAAATCTAAACACATGTTTAGATTCAGCATATCAAAGAACCCCAAGAATTCAATTTTTGTTAAAATCAAACTAAGTTTAATTTTGGACCCTTTGGACCTTAATGTAGACCAATTTAAAAACGGGACCCAAAATTAAAAATCTAAATACACGGTTAGATTTGGCATATCAAAGAACCCCAATAATTCAATTTTTGATGAAATCAAACAAAGTTTAATTTTGGACCCTTTTGACCTCAATATGAACCAATTTGATAGCGGGTCCACAAATCAAAAATCTAAATACATGGTTAGATTCAGCATATCAAAGAACCCCATATATTCAATTTTTGTTGAAATCAAACAAAGTTTAATTTTGGACCCCGATTTGGACCAACTTGAAAACTGGGCCCATAATCAAAAATCTAAATACATGTTTAGATTCAGCATATCAAAGTACCCTAAAAATTCAATTTTTGTTAAAATCAAACTAAGTTTAATTTTGGACCCTTTTGACCTTAATGTAGACCAATTTGAAAACGGAACCAAAAATTAAGAATCTAAATACACGGTTAGATTCGGCATATCAAAGAACCCCAATAATTCAATTTTTGATGAAATCAAACAAAGTAAAATTTTGGAGCCTTTGGACCTCAATGTGGACCAATTTAGAAACGGGGCCCAAAATCCAAAAACTTAATACACGGTTAGATTCAGCATATTAAAGAACCCCAAGAATTCAAGAATAAAACCCCATTGAAATTGATCAAGAAATAAGCAATTTATACGAAGTATCTTCTTTTGCACAATACTGTGCAATTGAATATTTCTTGCTATTGTGCAATACTGTACAATTGACAATTTCTTGCTATTGCGCAATATTGTGCTATTGGATATTTCTTGCTATTGCGCAATACTGTGCAATTGAAGATTTCTTGCTATTGCGCAATACTGTGCAATTGAAGATTTCTTGCAATTGTGCAATACTGTGCAATTGAAAATTTCTTGCTATTGCACAATACTTATTATATAATAATTTACACATCCTGTTTGGTGTGTATCTCCTACCATATCATTATTATTTGCTTTTAAATATTAATCAGAAATAACCAACTTAAAATGGAAAATTTTAAAAGAAAAAAAAAAGGAAAAAAAGAAAAAAAAAGAAAAAAAAAATCCCCCCCCCCCCCCAAATTTTTTGAACCCCCTTATGATTCATCACCCCCAAACTCAATCCCAGCCTTCCCTTTATGGTATGGTACCTTGCAGTACAATTTCAGAGAGATCCATACACTTGAACACAAGTTATTGTCTGGAAACTAGAAAAATGCTTATTTTTGGCCCCTTTTTGGCCCCCAATTCCTAAACGTTTCGGGCAATTACCCCCAAACTCAATTACAGCTTTCCCTTTGTGATATGGAACCTTGTAGTACAATTTCAGAAATATCCAAACACTTACACAAAAGTTATTGTCATGAAACTAGAAAAATGCTTGTTTTATGCCCCTTTTTTGGCCCCTAATTCCTAAAATTTTGAGGCAATTACCCCCAAAATCAATTACAGCCTTCCCTTTGTGATATGGAGCCTTGTGGTACAATGTCAGAGAGATCCATACACTTACACACAAGTTATTGTCTGGAAGTTACAAAAATGCTTATTTTTGGCCCCTTTTTGGCCCCTAATTCCTTAACTGTTGGTACCATAACCCCCAAAATCAATCCCCACCTTCCTTTCGTGGTATTGAACCTTATGGTAAAATTTCATGGAGATCTATTCACTTAAACTAAAGTTAGAGTGCGAAAACCAATGTGTCTTCGGACGACGCCGGACGACGCCAGACGACGACGACGACGACGACGACGACGACGACGCCAACGTCATACCAATATACGACCAAAAAATTTTCAATTTTTGCGGTCGTATAAAAATGCCCCTAATTCCTTAACTGTTTGTACCATAACCCCCAAAATCAATCCCAACCTTTCTTTTGTGGTATTGAACCTTATGGTAAAATTTCATAGAGATCCATTCACTTAAACTAAAGTTAGAGTGCGAAAACCAATGTGTCTTTGGACGACAACACCAACTTCATACCAATATACGACCACAAAATTTTTTTGCAGTCGTATAAAAATGCAAGAAAGCTATTTTTAAAAATACCTTTACAAAAATCCAAACACATTATATATGTCCATCATGAAAATAGTAAACAACATTTAATAACAGTACTACAGTAACTATTATATTTCTCCAGATGCACATTTATTATTATCTTTATATCTCTATAGCCTATACCCCACTGCAATACATGTACCATTTCTAATGATTGTCTTTTTTAATCTGAAAGCTTTTGAAAATTTGTTACTGTATCATTATTTTTATAGGCATCTAAAACGATTCAGAATGGCAATACTAGTTGTTATACAATGTAACAAAATAGTATTATGCATTTATTAGTAAAAAAATACCCTTTTTATAAAGAATAAGTCATTCATTGTTAAAATTATTTTAAGAGAAAATTCCAACTTACGAGAAAATGCAATACAGCTATTTACAACTCCTTTACAGAAATCAACACACATAATTCCTTGGACTGTTCTGGGAAGAAGAGGGACGAGTTCTATATTAAAATACATCCTGCTGATCGTACGAGATTTGGAGCATTTACAATATTGTACAAGATTCACTGACCTCAGAGGAAGTTCCGATGTAATAAAGGGCTTAATCGTAAACAGGATATTTTTAATTTCCTTTGACATACAAAACAAGTGGTGTTATTAAAATATAAATATTGGATTAATAATTATTTATGAAAGAATGATCTCTTGAATAAGCACATACCACAAACTTAAAAGCTTTCCTGTATCGTTTCCTTATTCAGAATTTGGCTCATAGGACACAATCGTACAACGTAGGTGGGGCATAATAAATACTTAAATCATAAACACATATTAATCAACCTTCTGAATAATTAAGTACCGAGGTGTTGTCTTTTTTTTTCTTCCACTTATCCAGCTCAGTCATAATTATTTTTCAAAAACAAATTTTGACTTATTTTGTTGTTTAACCAGACAGTAATTTTGGTTAGCTTTCATATTAACTTAAGAAGCCCAAATTTAAGTACTAAAAATTAATACTCATTAATTTAAAATAATTACTGTCCAGATTATTTTTTTTTTTAAATCTAGGACTTGACTATGTATGAGGTAAACTACCTTGTGATTAATTAAAACAAGAGTGCATGGACACACTGAAATGTCTCACCTGCATTACTGACCATTGATTTCATGTTGAAAGTTTCAAAGTTTTACCACAACTACCATATAAACTTTACATTTTTAAAGATCCATGACAATAAGATCAAGGTGAGATAAATCCTGTCAGACAGACATGCACACCTTGCAATTATTCCATACACCAAATATAGTTGACCTATTTCTTATGGTATTAAAAAACAGACCAAAACACAAAAACTTTACATTGACCAATGAAAATAAGGTCAAGGTCAGATGATATTTGCCAGATAGACATGTATCCATACACTATATACATGTACAGTATACTAAGCTGACCTATTGCTTTAAGTATTTGAAAAATGGACCAAAACATAAAAACTTAACATTGACAATTGTCATTATGAACCATGAAAATGATGGTCAAGGTCAGATTATACTGGCTAGACCGTCATGTACATATTAAATTCATTCCATACACCAAATATAGTTGACCTATTGCTTAAAATTATAGTACTTGAAAAATAGACCAAAACACAAAACTGCAAACATTGGCCAATGAACCATAAAAATGAGGTCAAGGTCAGATGATACCGGCTAGACCGACATGTATACCTTACAATCATTCCATACACCAAATATAGTTGACCTATTGCTTAAAGTACTTGAAAAAAACAGACAAAAACACAAAAACTTAACACTGACCAATGAACCATGAAAATGAGGTCAAGATCAGATGATACCGGCTAGACCAACATGTACACCTTACAATCATTCAATACACCAAATATAGTTGACCTATTGCTTAGAGTACTTGAAAAACAGACAAATACACAAAAACTTAGCATTGACCAATGAACCATGAAAATGAGGTCAAGGTCAGATGAAGCCTGCCAGACAGACATGAACCCCTCACAATCATTCCATACACCACATATACATATAGTTGACCTACTGCTTATACTATCTGAAAAACGGACCTAATCACATATTTTTAACCTTGAAGAGACAAAAAATCAGTACACAGGTTTTCAAGGATATGATCATGATGATAATAAAATAATTTTTCATCGGATGAACACATTTAGGCATTTTTCAAAATATAGACATGTAATAGGCCATGCAAAACTGACTGTTTGTTTACACTAACCCTGTCAGGTCTGTTTTTACCCTCTGGGTCAATTCTTTTTGTTGTTGCTTTTTTTTGCAGATAAAAAAAAAGTGTTGCTTTGTTTTCTATTGATAATTTTCAATGATGTTTTTAAAATTATCTCATAACCTCATGACCCTCTTAAAAGTGTGTCAACATTGCTTAATAAACATTCCTTTAGTTTCACATAACTTATACCACAATATAGGATGTAAAGTTTAACGACCTTGACTGGCTATAAAGCCCTTGAACAGTCAGTAGAACATGTGTAATGATGTGTGAAAGCTGTTAACATTTGTACACCAGCTAGACATGTTTTGGTGCACAGTGATGTCATAATATGGAAACTTTGGGCAGATTAGAGACGTTGTCAATAATGCTTGTAAGGAGTCTAGTAACAATTTTGGCTATATTAAAAAATTTTGCTGTACAGTTTATTCTCTTTCCGCCAAAGTTTTCACCAAAAATTGGTAAAAATTATCAACAAAGGGCAATAGTTATTATAATGAGTTGACTGACATTTTCGGCCATGCTGACATTATTGCAGCCTGACCAATCTAGACAGAATGTTGATTTAATAGAATTTTAGGATTATTGAGGAAAGCTTTTCACATTTTGTCCAATGTGTCTTCATGTACATTAGAGTTGCTGGAACAATACTTTCTCAGAGTTATTATATTACACTTTATAATAAGAGTCTCAAACAAGTGAACTTATAAATCAAATTACTATCGGCCTAGCCACAATCAGATGTACATTTCATATTAGGTCTATGTTATAGGCTTCTATAGACAAGAAGGTGAACTTAGTTTAAGTATTACATCTTTGAACTGAAGGAAAGAATATAGGGCTTCACAATACATATCAAATATCATCATGATCATGTATATGTGTGACCATTTTGAAAAAAACCACTAAAATACACGCTAAAATGGGCAAAATTTCAAGTTATGTTGTTTCATTTAAAATTACACTGTTTTTATCAATTGATAGTTAATAAGTGAACCTAATTTGAACTACATTTTTGGTTCACTGTTATAGACAATTTATTCATCTTTCTTTTGCTGGTTGTTGCAACGAAAAATCTTCAGTGGTAAGAAAGTTATGATAAAAAGTGGAATACTATGCATTCGTTATGCAATTTTGTATTTTTGTTTTTACCTTGTATAGTGTAGTAATAAAAGAGAAAAATAAATGATATTTATGCTATTATGTGTTTTGTTTTCTCTTCTTGTATATGAATTATCAACAACTACCTCATATATCTATATTGCAGTACCCTAGCTGGAGATATATGCCATCTAAAATGGATATCCAAATAAAGTGAAAAAATGTCTTGTCCGTAGACATGCATTTCCTAGTAAACTGGAAGTGTAATAACATAAATGTTGCATTGCTAAGTACCTTCTCTTTTGTTAATATGAAAACACTACAAACATTAATTTCTACCATCTTTTAATAGAGGAAGAATTTGAAAAAAATGTCAGAATGTCTTGTCCGTAGACACATGTCTTGTCCGTAGACATGACTTTATATCAATATTGCTTGGCTTTATGGATATAAATTGTTCCTATGTGTTGTTTAAACTTAGAAATATATTATTTTTGATTAATTAATGGTTATTTAACTGTTCTCATTTTTTGTAAAATTACTTTACAGGAGTGGATTTTAAAAAGTGGCAAATTGTCAGTCATTAAAAGCATACCTTATTTTACTTCAATATTTTTATTCCAGCTGCTTCATAACTTAAAAGATAAACTTAATCAAATGAAGAAATAGTATTTCTCTCTCTCTGACTTTATCTTTTGCATTTTAGGATTATCAGCAGATGAGGAAGCGTCTATGGACAAGACACTTGTACATAACAAGTATTAAATTCAATTATTTGTCTACTTTGGAACTTAAATCTAATTTATAGGTGATGAAAGTTCTTTGAACACATTAAAACTCAGTATTTTCAACATAAATATAATCACAATTATTTCTAACAGATTGTTTATTCAACTGAAATTGTCTTGTCCGTAGACATTACCACAATCTATTTGTTTCCAATTTCCTTGAGTTCAGCCTCATTTGATAGATAAAATGTATGTTATTTTTTTCAAGAGAACACTTTCAACTTTGTCAAAATTGAGTTTTAATAAAAGTTTAATTGTTAAACATTCAGACTTATGGATTTCAGTTGAAAGAATGTGTCTTCATTTTTGCTTAATCAATAAAATTTTGAGATATGTAAAGAATCATGGGTACATTTTTATATTTTCCAAAAATTAAAAAACACAGCTTAAAATTAAATGGGTAACTTAATCTTAATTTTAACAATTATCTTTTTAATGCATTTAATTAAATATCAATAAAATGTCTTGTCCGTAGACATTATCACAATGTATTTGTTTCCAATTTCCTCGAGGTTCAGCATCATTTGATAGATAAACATAATAAAATGTATGTTATTTTGACAAGAGAACATATTCAACTATGTCAAAATTAAGTTTTAAAGATGCATTTAATTAAATATCAATAAAATGTCTTGTCCGTAGACAAAACATATGAATTGTATTGCTAACTTTGATTGTTTATTGTAAGAATATGCATCAAGTTATTTTAATGTTCTATACACCAAAAGAAAGGTTTTTTTCTAAAGTTTTGTTATTAATAGATTATTTTAGAAATAGTTTGATCAGATCAGAGTAATGATCAAAGAAAGCTACTGTTGTTTGAAATAATTGTGAGTTAAACATGTTCTTGTCATTTTTTTTTTCGATTAAAATGTTTGATATTCAATAATTCCAAACATATTTTGTTGTCTTTGTCATCGGCCAAAAATTTGAAACTGGTGACAATGTCTTGAAGGCAACCATTAAAGAAAATTAGACAGTTTTAAAACACCATTTATTTAATAAAAATATTAAATATTTCTTCCCAAAACTGCATGTAATTATATAAATGCTTCAAGTGTTAGCCTTATGACGGCCATTTTTCATAATTTAAACCATTTCTGTACCAAAATATCAAAAGGGTTTTTGCCTGATGTGATCTTCATTTTTGACTTCATGTGAAACACAAAATGTACATCTGATTGTGGCTAGGCCGTCTGTTTTATTTAAATAAATATCTTTAATGTATTGTATTTGTGATTAATCACTGCATCCTCTTTAAAATTCAGGCCAGTATTTCATATTACCAAGTATTGCCCAGTATTACCCGGTAAAACCCGGGTTTTCCCAGTATATTTCCCACTGAGCTGGGCAATACTCATAAAACCCGGGTTTTTGCCAACCCTGC